GAGAGAGAGAGAGAGAGAGAGAGCAGGTACTGAATACATAAAATGAAACATAAGAGGGACATGTTTCAAGATTACAGACAAATATCTTTTGGCAGAGAAACATACAAAAATCCACATGAAAGAAAGACAGCCTAGCAAACTTCTAAAAATATAAACGTTACCCGAATATAAGATCTTGTCCAAGGATTTTTAAATTCTGTATCATCAAGTTTCCGAATCTGGAAAAAGAAATAAAATGTAAGCTAGAAAATTCGTGTGAAAGCATAATCGCAGAAAAGGTCCAGTATTTCTACTTACAGCATATTTCATGTCATCAGAATTGGTATAATCAACTAGACCATAAGTCCCTGAATATATGCAGCAACTCCATTGGGTGAGTCAATAAAATTTCATAACATAAAAATTCAGGATAAAGATCAGTAGCATGCTATATCATGTTTTTCGTTTTCTTTTACAGTGTGTGATGACAATTTCTTGATAAAATGACATGCTATTAGGAGTGTAGACATTTTATTCTCTGATCCTACAGCAGCATTGCCACAAAGGAAAACAAGGGAGGGGGACTTTAGTTCAAAACTTAACTGCACCTTAAAATAGAGTAAGTTGGTGAATTACAGTATAAAGTTCTAATTGCCATAAAATATAAATCAAATCTATACCTTCGCTGTCACGAGAAACCTCAGCAAAACACACATCACCAGCTTTTCGCATATGGTCCTGAAATCGATAACCAGTCAGGTTACCAGTATTGCACAAACAATATTGGAGTACAAAATTTGTGACAATTTCCATACCTTCAAGTCTTGCCATGAAGCAGAAGAAGGGAGGCCACGAACAATAACTGGACAAAATAAAATATGGATCAAACAATAAACAACTAAACAAAGGCTAATAGAACTCTCTTTACCGCATTGTTAACCATATCCTAATCTTGTTGAGCAATAGTGTACTATCCTAGAAGACACACCCCTATATTCAGAATGACGTGAAGCACCAAAGCGACCGCCACCGCTACCTCCACCACTGCTGCCTCTGTCATATCCACCACGACGATCGCTTGAAGATGGGCCCCTACCACCATGGGCAAGCTCCACCTGTATTGAGGATAAATGAGAGATCAATGAATGAAGAAGACTAAAACATGAAAGAAAACTATAGAAATATATTGTTTTAATAAGTAACAGGGACTTTTAGTACCCTTAAACGGCAACCGTCAAAGTTATACCCATCACGCCCTCTGATTGCATCTTCTGCATCACGAGAACTCTCAAACTGAAAACAAAGCATGTACATTAGCATCCATGAGAGAACCAACTGGTCCAAAATTCATGAATCCAGAGCATAAACCATTATAGGTACCTCAACAAACGAATAACACGGAGGGCGAGGTGGAATCTTCAATTCAATATCCACAATGCGGCCATACTGCATAAGAAATTCGATTTTAAAATGTTTTCACTAACAGAACTAAGCCCGTTCCATCTCAAACAAGACACATAATATAATAATAACAGTTTTTTTTCTATAGGACTACCTAAAATCAATAAAGGAATTGCAAGCACCAAACTACTTAATCCCCTAATTTTCAAACGCAAATGGCACTACATATCATACACATACATTGGGCCATGTGATGTTTAGTACTTTAAGTACAGAAAACAATTATTTTACTTGCATACGAATCAGAAGCTGGAAAATGATTCAAAACATGATGATGTAATGTGGATAATGAGATTTACAGAAACGCACTGGTTACTCTTTGATGTGATTTACAGAAATATAGGAAGCTCATATACCAAGTACAACTGATATATTATGAAAAATTTCATGCCAACCTTATAGAACAATTCTTCAACCTCTGATTCTCTTATATCTGAGGGTAGGTTGCCAACGTAGATTGTGCGAGAAAATCGACCACTCATATTTGACAATAGAAGACTCCGGCTGCAAACTTTTTACTGCATTCAAGGAATGAATTCCCGTAAGTGATTAATCCAACATTTTGTAAAAGAGAATAATGCTGCAACTTTGGAGTCCAATTATCATCGGAATGCACCCTGTTGACAATATCAAAAGAAAATCAAAACCAAACAATGAAGCAAACCAAGAGAGCAATCCTCGAGGTGAGCCGTGCTCCACAAGCTCCATTGCTCATTTGCTCCAAGATGCTCCAAAGCAATATTTATATTGAAATAAAATTTGATCTCCTCATCCTCTCCAGAATTTTAGCAGATGTATAGATCTTCTGAGAGTGAGCAAGAATCTCCAATAATAAAAAATAATACCCATAACTCCAAAATGATTCTCCCACTCCCTCTCTATATCCCTATGTATGATTGCAAAGCTCATATTTGTCCAAGCGCTTGCCATCTATCATAAAGAAAGCATCCGTGTCATGAGATCAGGCAAGATTGACATACATTTATGAATTTACCTCATTCATCTCTCTTTAACAGCATTGAAAATTAGAAAACCCCTGGAAAACAAGTTAATATCTAGTAATTAACTTACTTTCGCTAATTACTGCAATGTTGTATGTATCATGTCCAGGGTAAGGGATGGAGATAAATGTCTCCAGGCTCACGTAATTGGTAAATTACAGA